GTCATTGTTGTTTTGGCGGTCCGGGCTGGGGATTCGAACCCGCCACCTTAGGTGTACGTGGCTGGCGCCTTAGCCGGTTGAGCTATAGGCGCCGAGCCAGTCTATGCTATCTTGAGACTCTTCTGGGGTGGGGCCCAGAATGCTGATCTTAAGAAATTCTGCCTGCAGAGGTCTGGATCATTTGGAAATTGATCATAGAAGCCTGCGTACACAGATTCCTAACATTTCTTTTTTAGTCACCAGTCTCCTCTGGAAAAGAGGCAGTAAGATTGTCATTAAACCTGAAGGTCCTTTGTGAAATAGAACGCAAAGAATGCTTCTAACAGTGTTGCTGGAATGACTCACGGCTGACGTGCAGAAACTCCCCTTATCGCCAGCTCTGGCCAGAGCAAGGGCACAGTCGTCAGCACAGGCAGCGCTAGGGCCGCCACCTGCTGGGTCCCAAGGGCAGGCCCTCCATGCTCCCACAGAAAGGCCTAGCCAGGGTAGGGCTCTCACAGCATGGCACCTTTCTGTGAACACAAACACGGTCGGTCACAACTCCAAGGAAGCCAAGACCAAAGTCACCCTGGAAGGTGGTGTGGAGGTTGCTTGCCAGCCATGTGGCTGTGGATAGGTGCTCAGTTGCACCATGCCAGCAACCTCATCTATGACGTGGAGAAGATCACACCACCTCACAGTGCTGCCGAGAGAAGCAAACAAGGCTCCCAGTGGTTGTTCAGGTCCAATGAGAACTTAATGAGCAGAGCAAAAGTTTAGGGGATATTACCATAACCAAGGAATGATAAGAACATAGATAACACATAATAAAATGAAACTAGTAAGATAGAATCTCTCACACAATTGCCAGGCATGAGGCAGTGTGGAAATACTTCACGCTTTATTTTAGCTTTACACTCACCCTATTCTGTAGTTACTATTATTATCCCTTAGTCACAGGTGAAGAAATGGAGGCTCAGTGAAGTTGAGATAGCTGCCCAGGATCACAGGGGTGGAGCCAGCTCTCAAAAAAGAAGCCACACTCTCAACTTGATGCCCAAGGGACTCTTGGGGAATCTCCTCTGAGGGGGAAGGGTGCAGGATGTGCACCCTCCAGAGCCAGGTTCCCACCTGAACTATAGCCCATACTGCTGTCCCCCAAATGATATGTAGCTCCATGAAGTTAAGACAACAGCTGAAGTTAAGACTTCACAAGAAGGCAGGTGCAGTGGCTTATACCTGTAATCCCAGCACTTGGGGAGACTGAGGCAGGAGGATCCCTTGAACTCAGGAGTTCTGAGACTAGCCTGAGCAAGACTGAGACCCCATCTCTACTAAAAACAGAAAAACTAACCGGGCATTGTGGTGGGCACTTGTAGTACCAGCTACCTAGGAGGCTGAGGCAAAAGGATTGCTCAAGCCCAGGAGTCTGAGGTTGCTGTGAGCTATGACACAACAGCACTCTACCCAGAGCAACAGAGTGAGACTCTGTCTAAAAAAAAAAAAAGAAAGAAAGAAAGAAAGGAAGAAAAAAAAGAAAGAAAATAGATATCCAGGTGTCATGGCAGGTGCCTATAGTCCCAGCTACTTGGGAGGCTGAGGCAAGAGAATCACTTCAGCCCAAGAGTTTGAGGTTGCTGTGAGCTGTGA